TCAGCGAATGCCTGTCCTGCTGACCAGACTGACTGGAAAAGCCAGGGAGGTATTTAATGACTTGGGGGAACAAGAAGCCTTGGATTATGGGCGGTTTAAAGATTCTGTGTTAAGACGGTTCAAGGTTACTCCTGAATCTTACAGAGTTAAGTTTAGAAAGTTTAAGATGTCTAATGATTGTACTTTTGTAGAATGTGCTCATAAGCTGATGGGTTTTGTTAAAAAGTGGGTTATGGGAGCCAAGGCGCATGGGAGTTTTGAAAAACTGCTGGATTTAATAACTTTGGAACAGTTCTTAGACATTGTGCCTGACAATGTGAGAGCAGCTGTGTGTGATAGGGACCCTGAGTCAGTCCTACGGGCAGCAGAGATTGCGGATGCCCATACCCAAAACAGGGCTCGAGAAGGGTGTAAAACCCCGGGGAAAACTAATCACCATTCTCCCCAGTTCAAGAGGAGGGAAGGATTTAAAAGTAAACCTGACTCTTCTAAAGGAGTTCAAGGGGGCCCGGAGGGTAGGAACTCACATCCCAGGACGGAACAGGTTACATGCTATCACTGTGGCATGCTGGGCCACATGAGACCAGACTGCCCGACACTGAAGGGCAGCCCAAAACCAGGAACCCCAAATGCCACGGCCAATGCTAACCCTGTTGTTATAAACTCACAGGCAAGCTACACAGAGCCCAGCATTGGTGCCTTGTGGTCAAATGCTGTTTCTGTGGTCTCTGAAAACTTTGACCTTAAAACTCACATTAAAGCTAAGTATGGGAACAATAACGCAGAGTTTATTAGCAGTGCAGAAGTGAATGGAGTAAGGTGTATGGCATGGAGGGACACCGCAGCTGATATCACTTTGGTTAAAACAAGTCTTGTCAGGAAGGAAGATTATTTGCCAGGTGAAGATGTGACTGTTGTAGCCTTTTCTGAGTATTTTGTCAGGGTGCCTTTGGCTAAAATCCACCTGAAATGGAAGGGATTTGAGGGCACCATGGTTGTGGGAGTAAAAGACACAATCCCTAAGGATATTATGATTGGAAATGATATTAAAGCTATGGTCAGTCAAGTTAACACAAACCAGGCACAGGAGAGGATTGATCCTAAGGTTGTGCCTATGGAGGGTTTCTCCAAAAGTTTGTCTTTGGAAAGTAGCTGTTTGGCTGTGAAGGAAGTTTCTGAATGTCTATCTAATGTCTCAGAAGTAAAACTGGAATTAGATCAAGCGAAGGGAGAGGAGAACAAGGAGATTTTGGATGAGCCTAGGCAATCTTGTGAGCTGATGGCTTTATCTAGTCAGCAGTTTGGGAAGGCAAGGAGAGTGGAAGATAAGTGTCCCCATACCTTACCTGTTCCCTGTGTGAAGAATAGTGACAGTGAAGGAAATGTGCCTGTATCTGTCAGGGGTATTGACTTGCCTATGGAGGAAGCTACCCCAGTCTCCAAGCAGTTGTCTGTGAACAGCCCGGTGTGCTGGGACAAGGGAAATGAAATCCCAAACTGTATGTCTAGTAAAGGTAAATGTGTCTCCAACTCTTTTTTGTCTGTGGAGCAGACCGAAGGTGCCTTTCAGCCTGTGATGGTTGAGAGTAATTCAGTTGTCTCAGATTTGGTTCTGGATTCAACTAAAGCCCAGGAAGGGAATGGTCCTAAATTTGTGTCTGCTGGGGAGAATGGCACTGTAACTAGGTTGCATCCAGTTAGTGTCTTAGCAAAATCCCAGGGACCAGACAATTCGGGTGCTTGTATTTTGCCTGTTGCTCATGTGTGGTTGGAGAAGGGTATAACAACTCTGTCTAATCGGGGTGATACCCTAGCCAGGGCACAAGGAGAGCAGAAAGGTAATTTGGTTGTGGTACCTATGGACAGTTTAACAACTTGTAGCAAAAAGGACAAAATTCCTCAGCTTGTGTGTGGCAAAGGAAAGGAGAATGCTTCTGACCTTTCATCTAATGAGTCTATGGGTTTGCCTGAAAGGGGATTGTGTAGAAATCTGCCTGATGGGCCAAAGGTGATCCTGAATGTAAGACAGGCCCAGACAGAGTCTGTTGTTGCTCAGGAAAGTGTTCCTTTAGAGCAAGCCCTAGGTGAAGAGGGTAAGGGCAAAATTTCTGTGAGGGGTGATTTGCTGCTTAGAAAAGCTCCTGGGGAAAGGAATCCTCATGGTAATCTGTGCAAGCAGTTCCCTGCAACTGAAGGGTGTGAGAGTGATTTAATCAAGGAAGTTTCAGTTCCTAACAGCCAGAAGTCGTCTGTTGTGAATGGATCCACTGACTTTCCTTTTAAAAGATCCAGTGTGGGTAGCTTTGAGAAGGTCTCAGATGGAGTAAGAGCTGTTAAGAAAGTTGAGCAGCCCTATGACCAAGTGGCTGTGTGGGGCCAACTTGTTGGAGAGACAATGGTGTTGGAACAGGAATGTCTCCTTTCTGATTCTTTAAATGAGCAGTTTGTGCTTCAGGGTCTGAGGACAGATTTGGTTACTGATGTGTCAGAGCAGAGCAGTTTTATGGCTGAAAGCTTGAGGATGCAGGGGAGAGCAGGCAAACTCTCACCCTCAGACTATTTAGATTTGTGTGGTATCTATGTAAGACAGAGTCCAGCCTTGGAAATGATAGCAGTTACGAATATGAAAACTGGTGGACTGGCTCTGGTCTGGGGTAGTGCAAATTACTTGCCTGGCGGGGAGAGGAAGGACTTGCTAATAGCTGTTAGCACAGAGAGCCCACCCCATCAGCCAGTGAATTCTGTTAATCAAGAGAAATCAGGGTTTGATCCTGCAGGACAAGGAGGAAAGAGAAAACTGAATTTTGCAAAGGGAAGCCACAGGTTAACCCTAAAATGCCCAAACTCCAATGGTATTAAGCCAAAGGGGTGGCATGACAAACATGATTGTAGATGGACACTTGCAGTGAACTTGTTGTTATTGCTAATGGTAAATTTTGTAATAAATGTGTTGCTATTGCCACAAACTGTAAAAATGTACAATGTGCCTAATCTTTTGGAGAATCCCTTGAACGTGTTAAAAGGAATACATGAGAACACACGTTATGTTAAAAGGCCTTGTTACACGGATGTTTCACAGTTAATGCCTGTAAACAATATTGGAACTTTTCACAGGGGAAAAGACATTCCAGACCCAATGTGCTGTGTGAAAAGGAAGACTGAGGCACACGACCATATTGCTTTCATGGCTAAATGCCAAGATTCCTGTACTATGAAGAACATTAATATCTGCAGTTATTTGATGTTAATTGGGTTCCAAACATTTGCCCGAGCTTGGATAAATAAAGTAGCTGTTTGCGTCAGCTCTTGGCAAGATCACATGAGACATACAGGAACCATGCTGCAAGAGCAGATCCAATCCACTATTGTTCTAACTAAGTTTTACCTTGAGTTTGTAAAGAGGTTCAATCATGTTGTTGAACATGACTTGGATAAACCATTTCTGTTATACACTGGTATGGCCTCTAACCCAATACTAGCTGTAGTGAGACAGACCCAAGGATGGGGAGCTCTTGGGATGCAGTCAGTGATGTTTGTGTCATCCCTTCCTGCATCAATTTTGCGTTGGGGGTGTGACATTATTGATATAATCTGGGACCATATAGATCATTGTTGCAACCAAGGTCCTGTAGTGGCACCCAAATCTTGTATAAAGGGGGTCAAATGGGGTGTCTTAGACAAGGTTATGGTTTACTGGTTATGATTATGCTGTCTATATGTGTGTATCAATTTTGTAGTTGAAGTTATGAATATTGGCTCTATACTGTCTGTATTTCAAACTTATGCTATGCTGCTGGGTGACATCCCAGACAAGCTGGTGTTAGCTCTGCCTAGCCTGCTTGATGGCCCATTAAGGACCATCAGCTATACAATGGACCCATTGAGAGAAGGCAAATATGCCTTGAGACTCAGCAAAGTATGCAGGGACTGGCCCATGTGACTCCAGGCTCCATTTTGCTGTAATTTTCCACAGTAAGAACAAAGAGGTGTTCTTACACCTGGAAAAGACTATATAAGGCTGATGCCTCATCTCCATCTTGTCTTCAATCCTGCTTCATACCTCTGGAGGAACTTTGCTACAAGCTGAAGCTTTGAACAAAGGACTGAGGACCCATCCCAGCGGGGGATGTATTCCAGAGACTTGATTTGAACCTGCAGTTTATTCTATCGCTGCTGCAAGCCTGAACCAAGAACTTTGCCATTACTGTATGTAATTGATTCCATTTAACCAATTCTAACTCTCATCTCTATCTTTTTCCCTTTATGAATAAACCTTTAGATTTTAGATTCTAAAGGATTGGCAACAGCGTGATTTGTGGGAAAGATCTGAGTTGTATATTGACCTGGGTCTGGGGCTTGGTCCTTTTGGGATTGAGAGAACCTTTTTTGTGTATATTGGGATATTGGTTTTCATAACCATTTGTCCCCATAACGAGTGGCACTGGTGGTGATACTGGGAAACTGGAGTGTCTAGGAGATTGCTTGTGAGACTTGCGGTTAGCCAGTGGGGTGAGACCGAAGTCCTCTTAGTCTGGCTGGTTTGGTTTGCCTTAGAGGTGGAAAAACCCCAGCCTAGGGCTGTAACTGCCCTGTTTGAGCAATTTGTCCTGAGTTGGCACTCTCAGTTGGGTTCCGCCAGAACCACATCGTCACAGGGGGGGAGAGGGATTGGCACAAGGCTTGTCCCGTGCGTTGGGATCCTCACATGGAAGCTGGCAGAGGAAGGCCAGGGGCGTAGAGAGGGGGACGTGTGTGCTGTGGGGTGCTCATGGGGGGGACTCATAAAGACACTCAATGACATGGGTGGTAGCTCATACAGGTAGGGGTAGCTCATGCACAGGGTGACCCTGAGCTCTGCAGCTAGGTGACTGTGGGCCTCAGTTTCCCCTCTTGCCCTTTGCATGTCTTGCTATTTCAGCTGGTCTCCCCAGGGCAGGGGCTGCTGGTCGCTGGGTTTGTGCAGCTCCCCGGGGCCCAGGTGCGAGGGCTGCTGGGGTCACCGCATGGCACCGGGGGCAGGGATGGGCAGGAGGCTGCTGTCTGCATTGCAGCTGGGCGGGGGGAACCCGGCTGGGGCTTTCCCACCGGCTGCTCCCTCCCACACGGGGTGCGGCAGGAGGGGACGTGGGGGGCATCCCAGAAGGTCCTGCTGGTCTCTGCTCTCCCCAGGGGCTGCAGGGGGGATCCTTGCTCCTCACCTGGCGTAGGAAGGTGATGGGTCTTCGGCCTGCAGCGTGGGGGTCCCCCGAGTGGCACCAGATAACCTCCCGGAAGGGCTTCTCCTCTCCCTGGGGCAGAGAGCAAAATGCCCCCACCAAGGGGGGGCTCTGAGCCATCATTAACAGAGCTGGCCCCTCCCTCCCTTCCCCTGGGCACGGGCTCCCCAGCACAGGCTGCATTTGTCCTTCTCCCTGTGGGCAGCTCTGGCACAGGTTGGCTGGCCCACATTCACCCTCGCCCTGCGGCCCCTTTCTGCCAGCCAGGCTGGTGCACCCCACCACGGGGGGATGTGAGGAGGTGTGACTGGCTCGGGGCAGGGAGCCGAGGGCCGGCCCCGTGAGTCCTGCAGGGCCGGCCCAGTGACAGGGCAGGGAGCCGGGGACTGGCCCCATGAGCCCTGCAGGGCCAGCTCAGTGACAGGGCAGGGAGCCAGGGCCTGGCCCCGTGAGCCCCGCAGGGCCGGCCCAGTGACAGAGCTGGGGGCTGGCCCCGTGAGCCCCGCAGGGCCGGCCCAGGGACAGAGCAGGGAGCCGGGGGCTAGCCCTGCCCAGGTGTGACTGACAGAACCGGTTGCCAAAGCCCATCAGGGCAGGGCTGGGCTGCGGGATGCTCGATGCCCGAGGGCAGTGGCGCTGGCAGTTCCACAGGCTGCCCTCTGGCTGGCCCTGCAGGCAGCAAACAGGCAGTCCAGGAGGCCGGTGCGGGAGCCACTGTTCAGCAGAGACCCGCCCTGCCAGCGCCCGCAGTCAGGACCCAGGACACTGCCCCATGCCCTGAGCCCCGGCAGCCCCAGGAATACCCCGAACGCTTTCCCAGAATCCCCCTCACCTGCGCCAGCTGGCGCTGGATTTCCGAGGCCCTCTCCAGCAGGGGCCCCAGCGTGGGGAGCCTGGCGCCTTTGACACACGGATTCACGGAGTCCAGGGTCAGGACCTTCCTCCCCGCCGCCATCCCCCCGCTGGGCTCCGGCGCACAGAGGGGCTGGGAATGCCTGAGCTGAGGCTGGGGGGAAGGTGCCTGGGTCGCTGCAGGGCTGACGAAAGCCCCGCCTGGGGGGGCAGCCCAGGGCTCGAAGGTCCAATTCCCCTTCCCTGACCAGAGTCCAAAGGTGGCCCTTTGGGTTACTCGTTAATGAGCCAGAGAGATGCCCTCAGCGCCGGCACTGCTGGGTTTGCCATCAGCGCTGCCCAGGGCAGGGAATTCTGAGCCCCTCGGACGGCCGCTTGTGTCTCCGCACGTTGCCGAGAGGCAGCCGGGGGTGGCAGCCCAAGAGGGCTGGCGGGAGCTCCGAGTCTGCGGCCCCTGGGGCTCGGAACCGCACCTGCCTCCCCCAGATCACTGCACAGGGCAGGGGCCCCAGGCTCGGCGCTCCAGCTGCCCCCTGCAACTGGCCTGAGCATCCTTCCTGGCCACGGCCCCCGCAGCATCCCTGATGCTTGTTTAGACCAAGGGGAAGACGCTGCCCCCTTGGGGACACTCGGGGCGTTACAGCTCTAAGGGGCGCTGAGTCCTTGCCCCCGGGCTCTGCTCTGCGCAGAGGACTTTGCAATGCCCTCCCGTGGGTCTGCTTCCCCCTCGGCAAGGGCCGGGCCAGCGCCTGCCTGCCCCGCGGCTGTGACCAGCCCTCCCCTGGGACTGCGTGTCCCAGGCACTAGCGAATGGTGCGTGGCCCCTCGCCGGTTCTGGTGGGGCCGGGCCAGGCTTGGCCAGTGCGGCTCTGACCCGGCTCGGCTCCGCTGGGGCCCACGGGCAGCGGAGGCGCCGTATGTGACTTGGCTAATGCCTGGGATCAGGTGTGTGATCATGGCTCCCTCTAGTGGCCGGCCCCAGCACAGCCGGCTAGTCACTCAGCCAAGGGCTGGAGGTGCCGCCGCCAGTGGTTTGGTGCTGCGTGTCGTGGGTTCAATCCCCGCTGGTGCCCTGCTGCGTCTGGCCAAGGGGCACGTTCCTGCCGAAGGGACCACGCCTGCTCCTCGGACACCAGAGGCCTCTGCCCCGGACAGGCTCCTGCCAGCACAAAGCTTGGTGGCCCTGGTGTCTGGAAGGAGTTAGCGTGCCCATCTGGGGCAGGCATTCACCCCAGGGGAGCCAGGTAGCCATGGACCTTGGCCTCTGCTGGGCCTTGGTGCCAGCTGTGCCCGTTTTGTGCCAGGTGAATTCCTCTCCTGGCTGGGGAGCACCTGGACTGTGATCGCCCCCCCGCCCCGTCCCCGGGCTAGCTCTGTGATGCCTTAGCCCCGCAGAGAGAGGTGGGTCAGCCAGACAGGCCTGCAGGTCGCCAGCAGCCTCACTCGGAGGCTTTACTCCCCGAGCAGGGCTGGGTGGGCACAAAACTGGGGTGGAAAGTAGCCAGCGTCCCCAGCGTCGCCGTGCCCACCCCAGCCAGCCCCACGCCCAGACACAGCAGCCCCTAGGGCCTGGCAAGGGCTGGGGCAGCATGTGGGGCAGGCTCCTGCTTAGTAGGGCTGTAGCTCTTCATCCTTCAGCCACGAGCGGGCTGCAGAGACCCACTATGGGGCGGCAAGACTGGGGCAGAGCCCCACCGCCGCCATCTGCCTGACGGTGCCCGGCAGGTGCTAGGGCAGCAGCAGCGTGGCCAGCAGGTGGCGCTCACTCCCGCGGTGCCCCACACTGGCAGGGACTGGGGTAGCCGTGTGCCCCAGTGTGCTCCCCCTCGAGAGCAATGCCCCCCCCACACACACACACAGCGCAGCGACCTTTGTTCAGTCATTAACTGTTTATTGCTGCTCTGGGGGGTCCAGGCCAGGACCCCGTGAAGCCCCGTCTCCAGCTGGCCATCACCCAGCCTCATGCCCCGCCCCCGGCCATGTCTCTGCCCAGGACCCAGGTGCAGGGGGGCCCTGGGGACGAGCTGGCGGGGGGGGCAGAACAAAGCCCCACAGGCTCAATCAGTGACACTTAGACCCTCCTGGACTGGGCATGTCCCTCCATGGGCTGCAGCTGTCCATGCCACTAGCGGGCCCAGCACCGTGTGCCCAGCCTGGGTCTCTGGGGGGCTCTGTCTGACCCGCTGTAGCCCCGGGGAAGAGGGTGGCGCAGCGAGCCCTGCTGGCCTGGCCTATGGGGCAGACAGAGCCGCTGGGCTGCCCCCTTGCAGGGCACGGGGGCCAGCAGAGGAGGAGGGAGAACAAGGCACTTCAGGACAGATGGCTCAAGGCACCATGTGGGTGGCGAGGAGCTGGTGGGCACCTGGAGCTTGGCACCAGTGGGGGGGCAGGGGCTGTGCTGGCCCAGACAGGGCTGGTGATACAGCCTGGGCAGGGTCTGGCAGACAGAGCGTGGTGCCCCGTGCCCTGGCCCGGGGGACGTGCGTGAGAGGGACCATGGGTGGCACAGAGGGTGCTGCTGGAGCCCACCCGCAGGTCCCACTGACTGGCGATGCCAGGGCCTGCCCAGATGCCAGGGCACCTCATCCAGCGGTGCCCAGCAGGCTGCACGGGGCTAGTGGAGTTCAGTCAGCTGGGCCACGGGGGGCAGGGGTTGCGAGCTTGCTGGCACACGGCTGCCCGGTGCTGGTGCGTCCCGTGCCCGAGCTGCCCCACCCCCAAAGGCCGGGGGGGATGGAGTGTCAGGGACATGGCACAGCCCCAGAGCACCTGGCACCCCTCAGGAGCACTCGGCGAGCGGGGCAGCTGGGCTGGCACAGGTGGATCCCAGTGTGGGGGCATGGACACCTGCCAGTCCCACTGCAGAGCGACACGCGGCCCCGGCCCCCGGCGAGCACTGGACGGACAGGCAGGGCAGAGCTGGCGGCTGCCCCGGGCAGCACATTAGGAATATTCCTGGGTGAACTTGGCATAGAACTGGCTGAGCTTCTTCAGCAGGGTCTGGAGCTTCTCCACGTGCGGCAGGATGGTCATTCTGCGGGCAGAGAGATCCCTCAGTCCGGGCGCCTGGCTGAGCCCAGCCTGCCAGCCCCCGCCCCCTCCCGGGAGCCAGGGGCCCATGGGGTTAACCCCCCACACACACCCTGCACAGCTGGGCTCAAGCGGGCACAAGAGAACGCGGGAGTCAGAGACCTCCCGAGGGGGCAGGGCTGTGGGTCGGGATTGAGGGGCAGGGGGAGCTGGGGGTGTGAGGAGCTGTGGGAGCTGGGCAGAAGGGGTGGGTGTCAGGATTCGGGGGGAGGGGGGACAGACGGCCGGGTCTCTCCCAGCTCCGCATTGCCAGCCCTTCCCAGGGGCCCCGGGTGTGGAGCGTGATCAGGGGGCCCTTACCTGAAGTGATAGGTGCCCTCTCGCTGCCCAAAGCCGCTCCCTGGCACCACGCAGATGCCCGTCTCCTCCAGCAGCTGGAGGCAGAAGAACATGTCTGGGGCAAAGCCCCGAGCCTGGGGAGGAGCAAGGGCTGGGCTTAGGGGAGATGGGATGGGAGGAGAGATGCCTGCTCCGTGCCAGCTCTCCCCGGACCCGCTCCCCCACCCACATCCCCGAGGCTGCTCCATGCCCAGCTCTCCCCGGACCCGCTCCCCCATCCCCATCCCCCAGGCTGCTCCGTGCCCGGCTCTCCCCCGGCCCTGCTCCCCCAGCCCCCAGGCTGCTCCGTCACCGTGCCCGGCTCTCACCTGGGCCTCCTGCACAGCCCTGGCTGGGATCTGGATCCTGGGGAAGGAGTACATGGCGCCCTGCACGGGGTTAGAGCGGATCCCGGGCACCTGGCTGAAGATCTCCTGGATCAGCTGCGCTTTGTGGGCCAGGTTACTTAGCACCACCTGCTTCTCCTGGGAGCCGAGAGAGAGACCCACAGTGCTGAGTGGCAGGGGGCTGCCGGGGGGGAGAAGAGGGGGCTGCAGGCAAGGGGAAGTGGGGACAGGCACTTGGGAATAGCAGGGCCTGGGGGGTCAGGGGGAGGCCCATGGAGCTGGTGGGGGGGTGCCCCTCAGGGAGGGGCTGGGGCTGGTGGGGGGGCTCGGGGCCGTGGCTGCGAGCCCCCCACACTTACCCGGATGAAGCTCTGGTACGAGGGCTCGCCAGGCTTTGGTGGGTTCATGACCACGTCCAGCAGCACCTGGCTGGGCACGGGTGGGCACAGACGCACCGACACCAGCTTGGAGAGCTGCTGCTGCACGGCCGGATCCAGGTTCACCACCTCCATGTACCCGCCCCGGAACCCACACCTGGGGGCGAGAGGGTGAGACTGGGTGTGACGTTATTGATATAATCTGGGACCGTATAGATCATTGTTGCAACCAAGGTCCTGTAGTGGCACCAAATCTTGTATAAAGGGGGTCAAATGGGGTGTCTAAGACAAGGTTATGGTTTACTGGTTATGATTAGGCTGTCTATATGTGTGTATCAATTTTGTAGTTGAAGTTATGAATATTGGCTCTATACTGTCTGTATTGCAAACTTATGCTATGCTGCTGGGTGACACCCCAGACAAACTGGTGTTAGCTCTGCCTAGCCCGCTTGATGGCCCATTAAGAACCATCAGCTATACAATGGACTCATTGAGAAAAGGCAAATATGCCTTGAGACTCAGCACAGTTTGCAGGGACTGGGCCATGTAACTCCAGACTCCATTTTGCTGTAATTTTCCACAGTAAGGACAAAGAGGTGTTCTTACACCTGGAAAAGACTATATAAGGCTGATGCCTCATCTCCATTTTGTCTTCAATCCTGCTTCATACCTCTGGAGGAACTCTGCTACAAACTGAAGCTCTGAACAAAGGACTGAGGACCCATCCCAGCTGGGGGTGTATTCCAGAGACTTGATTTGAACCTGCAGTTTATTTCATCACTGCTACAAGCCTGAACCAAGAACTTTGCCATTACTGTATGTAATTGACTCCATTTAACCAATTCTAGCTCTCATCTCTATCCTTTTCCTTTTATGAATAAACTTTAGATTTTAGATTCTAAAGGATTGGCGACAGCGTGATTTGTGGGTAAGATCTGATTTGTATATTGACCTGGGTCTGGGGCCTGGTCCTTTGGGATCAGGAGAACCTTTTTCTATTACTTGGGTAATGGTTTTCATAACCATTTGTCCCCAATACGAG